CTGATGGTCACAGGTTGTAACAGGAGCTCTTTGCTACTCCTGAAAACACAATGTCACAGGGGCCTCTGTATTATAGAGGGAAAGAACAACCAGGGCGACTGCACAGCAGGTCCTGGAATCAGAGATCACAGAGATGAAGGAGCAGAAGGCTCACAGCAAGTGCTCTTCGACGGGGACCAGCGAGTGTGTCCTCCAACAGAAAGAGCACAGGCGCGATGTCAGGGTGCAAAGATCGTGGACTTTCCTTGGGCAGGTTACCCTGTCAGAATCTTAATTTCCTCATCTGTACAATGACTCTGATTCCTATTTCACTGGCGAGGACTGAAAGATTAAAAGAATTGGGATCAGCAGTTGGCATAATGGCTATGTCGCTGGACTTCCAAGTACTTGACCAGGTTTGAATCCCGGACCCTGTGGCTTAAACTCACACCGGGCACATGTGTGTGCGTGCCCAAGATCCCAAGAGGAGAATGGAGGAGAAGGGACTGTGGCATGGCCATCCCCTGGGGCGGGGGGGGAGAAAAACCGTATAAAAAAAAAAAAAAAAAAAAAAAAAAAAAAAAAAAAAAAAAAAAAAAAAAAAAAAACTCAAGATAAAAAGAAAGATGAAAAAAAAATCAAGTGGGGGACCATCAGATGACCAGATGGCATAGCAGTTATGTCACTGGATTCCCACATGGTCGACTGTGTTTCGAGTCCCAGACCTAGTGCCTTGAAAGCCACACTAAGCACATGTGCATGCGTGCCCAAGCTCCCGAGAAGAGAATGCAGAAGGGACTGTGCTGTGTTCTCCCCCCAGGGGGTGATTTCTTACTTTCCCTCTTCCTGTCTTGTCTCATCCTAAGACACAAACCTCGGAGGGGGGAAAAAGAGTCAAGGGTCTAATAACATGACTGGCATGTGGTAGGAGCTTTACAAAAGATGGTTCAGGGGCCAGCAGATGGGGTAGTGGTTACATTGCTGGACTCCCATATAACCAACGACAGTTCAAGTCTCAGACCCAGTGGCTTGAAAATCATGCCAGGTGCAAGTGCATACATACCCAAGATACCAGGAAGAGAATGGAGGAGAAGGGACTGTGGTGAGTCAATTTCCCCTGGGGGATGATTTCTCCCTTTTCCTCTCACTGTCTCCGTCTCTCCCCAGTAAGCACACATGCCCTATGGCAAAAACCTCTTTAAAAAAAGAAAAAGATAATTGGGACCAGCACATGCCACAATGGTTACATCACTGGACTCCCATGTAGTTGACAGCAGTTCAAGTCCCAGATCTGGTAGCTCAAACTTCACGCTAAGTGCATATGCGTGTGTGCGTGCCCAAGATCCCAAGAGGAGGATGGAGGAGTAATTGTGGCATGGCCATCCTCCCAGAGGGTGATGTCTCGCTTTCTGTCTCTGTTTCAAACTGTCCGGTGAGTGCACATGTCCTATAGCAAAAACAAAACCTCTCTCTCAAAGAAAATAAAGAAGAGATAGTTGATTTTAGGAACTATGGGCCAACCAATAGACCATCTAGGGAATCAAGCAAAAGCACCTGCCTTAAAGATAAGGACAACCCAAAATTCCAGTGTGGCCCCCTCTAATTACCAATGCACAATGACTTACTTATTCACAACTTAGATCCCTATCAGCTCAGATCCCAAGTGGATGCCTCTGAAGACGGACATAGTAGTAATGGTAGTAAACCATGGTAGTGGTGCCCGTGAGCTGTGATCAGTGTAAAATGCCTGCTGGAAACCAGGTCTGTTAAGTTGCATAATATGGCACATCCTAACATCTTATCGGTTATTTTTCTACATTCAAATTATAACTGTATCAATTAAAGTGATAACATGGTTTGTATCAGTTATATATGCCCCAGATAAAGCTTTCTTAAAAAGGTTTATTTCCACTTGTTGTTATTGTGTTTTTTTTTTTTTTTTTTTTTTTTTTTAATTTGACCAGAGAGAGACAGAGAAAGGGAAGGTGAGAAAGCAAGCCACCAGGTCAAGGACTCAAACCATGATAGGCCATGTGATCCAGTGCCTTTAAGCACCACTCCACCTGTCAGTCCTATCCTCGGATTAAACTTTAAAGGGGACAATAAAAAACTTATTTACAATATAAACTACTAATAGATAAGACGAAATCATTTGAAATATGAAGCATTTGCAGTAGAAGTTAAACAGGTACAGGTTGGTAGGATACAATCCTTGGGCCGAGGGCCAGCCTGTGACCTGGGGATTAAGACGCCTGGATCCCACATGGCCAACTGCATGGTTTGAGTCCTGGATCCAGCAGCTTGAAAAACACACCGGGCATACGTACAAGTGTGCATGCCTTCAGTCCCAAAAGAAGGGAGAAACAGAAGAGACTGTGGCATGATCATTCCCCATGGGGAGGGGGTGCTTCCCCCTTCCCCCTCTCTCTCTCTCTTTGGAAAGCACACATGCCCTTTGACAAACCAGGGGGGGAAATTATTGGGTCAGACCTGTGGCCCGGTAGTTAAGAGGGCCAAGTCGCACAGTCAACCATGCCCCACCAGCTTGAAAAACTCGCCAAGGGTGTGCATGTGTACCCACGCCCGAAATCCCAAGGAGATGGAGAACTGGAAAAGAGTTGTAATATGATCACGCCCCACTGGGGGTGCTTTCTCCCTCTGTCTGTCTGTCAAGTACATGCGCCCTCTGACAATTAAAAATTCTAATACCCTGGACCAGCAGATGACATAATTGCTATGTCGCTGGACTCCCATGTAGTCGACCGCGGTTCAAGTCCCAGACCCGATGGCTTAAACTCAGGCTGGGCGCGTGTGCGTGCGTGCCCAAGATCCTGAGAGAATAGAGAAGGGACTGTGCTGTGGCCAGTGATTTCTCACTTTCTGTCTCTCTGTCTCTCTCTGTCTGTCTGGCAAGCACACGTGCCCTAGAGCAAAAACCTCTCAAAAAAAGAAAGAAAGAAAAAGAAAAGAAAGGTATGAAGACAGCAGACCAGCTCCATGGCCTGATAGTTAAGGCAGCCAGTTCCCGCGTGCATGACCACGTGCAGTTCGAGAGCGGACCTGGCCACCTGAGAAACACGCTGGGGGTGTGCCCGAAACCCTGAAAGGAGGGAGAGAGGGAGAAGGGATTGTGGTGTGACCTTCCCCAACGGATGGGGGTTCTTTCTTCTCTCTCCCTGGTTAGCTCACATAGCCTCCAGCACCAAAAAAAAAAAAAAAAAAAAAACCCAAAAAACAAAAAAACAGAAACGAAAATGTTAAGTATGAAGATAGCATCTCGGATAACTACATTCTCCCACCTTTCCTGAAACTGCCAGTGGGTTCGACATTGCCAAAGGAGGTATTTTATGAGCAGCCCTGCCCTGAAAAGTCATACCTCGTGTCAAGGAATCTTGGTTCTAGAGAAACTTCTCCCCTGGGTTTTGTCCTGCCCACCCAGTGATCCCATTTACTAACTCCAAACCAGGAAACATCGCTCATCTGGCAACAAGATAAAGCACATCAACGGTAGCTATTCTGACAACTCCAGGGAGTTCCCAGCACCTCTGGATAGCAGCCGCCCCAGTGTGCTGCACCTCGCATCCCCACCCTGAGCTTCCCCCCCTACCTGACTTCCACCTCCGGCTTGTTGTGTCGTTCCACGACCTGGGAGGAGAAGTTCTCCAGGCAGAGGGCAGCCTGCAGCGTGGCCCGCACGGCACTCAGGTAGGGGCGGAGAGTGGCAGTCTATAAGGGGAAAAAAAACAAGGGCAGGGAGGATCAGAATCTGCCTTACCAAACCCACGGGTCCCCTACTCCTCCTCCCAGGGCCAGATAGTTGAGGGTGTCCAGTTCTCAGACAGCACAGAGAACACCCAAGTCTACAGCAGTGGTACTGAATGGGCAACAATTTTGCCTGCCAGGGAAAGTTTAGCAATGTGGAGACATTTTTGATTGTCATGACCTGAAGCGGGGTATGCTCGCTTTATCATACACAGTGGAGAGGCAGTGTATGATAAAGAGCTCTCCAGCCTCAAGTGTCAATACTGCTGGGACCAGCAGTTAGCGTAATGGCTATGTCGCTGGACTCCCACGTAGTCGACCGCGGTTCACGTCCCAGACCCGGTGGCTTAAAAATTCACGCTGGGTGCGTGTGCGTGCGTGCCCAGGATTCCAAGAGAATGGAGTAGAAGGGATTACGGCATGGCCATCCCCCCTGGGGGGTGATTTCTCGCTTTCTGTCTCTCCGTCTGTCCGGCGAGCGCACGCGCCCTATAGCGAAAAAGCTCTCCCCCCAAAAAAAAAAATACTGCTGAGGCTGAGAAACTCTGGCCTAGAGGCACACAAGTGAATGCCATCCTCAATCTGCCCGTTAGCCAGTAAGTGCATACATGGACTACTTGCCAGGCATTGAGTGAGCTGGGTCAAAGATGATTAAGACCATGCTTCCCTCACATAGCTCAACCGGGTGGGGGATACAGAGGGGGAAAAAAAACCTACAACGCAGAAGACGAAATCTGAAATAATTAGACTTACAGTGAGTCTGTATTTGCAGAAGAAACTGGTTTTGATTAGAAGATGAAATAAAATTAGGATGTTCACCATGAGAAAAAAAAAAAAGAGAATAAGGACATTCCCGGTAGGGGAATCCGCTTCGAGCTATAGAGGTCAGTTCCTCCGAGGAGCCACATTTTCTCACTATCGGGCTTTACCCATGCTGAGCCATCTATCTGCAAGCTTTTCTCCTCTCTCTGCCTAAGTCTTCTCTCAGAGCTCAGCTTATTAGGGAAGTTCCTCAGAGAAGCCCTTGATTTCCCCTTCACAGCATTTAATACAAATTACAATGACACATCCTTCTTAAGCATCTTGTAAAATGATTTCTCTTCCCATAAACTGTAAGCCTTACAGTCAACAGACCGTGTCTACTTTACTCATAGCTAGGAAGCCTGCACCTAGTTCAGTATTTTACAGTGTCTTCCTCATTTTCTGTAGAATGAACGAATAAACCAAAGAAGTAAGCAAGATTAGAATAACGAAAAAGGGCATTAAGAGTTCCAGAATTGGCAGGACCAGCAGTTGGCATAATGGCTATGTCGCTGGACTTCCACGTCGTCGACCAAGGTTTGAGTCCCGGACCCGGTGACTTAAACTCACGCCGGGCGCGTGTGCGTGCGTGTCCAAGGTCCTGAGAGGAGAAGGGAGAAGGGACTGCGGCATGGCCGTTCCCTACCTCCCCCCCGGGAGGGTGATTTCTCTGTCTCTTTCTGTCTGTCCCTTTCTTTCTAGTGAACACACACACCCTATAGCAAAAAAAAAAAAACAAAAAAAAAACTCAAAAAAACAAAGAGAAGGGTTCCAGAATTAGTATGCTTCTGTATATGGGAAGCATTTCACATTCAGTAGATGAGACCACAAAGGTAAGAAGAGGTAAGATTATGGAAAACGTCAAATGCCAGGCTACTGAGTTTACTTTTCTTTTAATGCGGTAAGTACTGGGACTTTCTGAGGAGGAAGTTACACGACTACAACTGCATGGTGGCCGTGTAGACAATGGATTGCAGAGGGAAGTGAGACACAGCACAGAGGTTATTCAAGAAGCACGGACGAGAGCCTGAACTGGGCAATTGAAAGGACAAACAGAATCACAGACAATAAACTGGCAGTAGCTATAAAGAATAATAGAGTGAACAAACAATTCCCAACAAAAACGTGGTCTACTCATACTATAAACTACTCACCCGTAAAAAGGAGTAACTGCTGAGACATACAATAAGGGTAAGTCTCAAATGTATTACAAGCTACACTAAAAGCTGCATACTAAAGAATTCCAATTATGAGGCTGGCAGGTGGTGTGGTGGTTAAAGGTGCTGGACTCCCACATGGCTGACTGTGGTTCAAGTCCCAGACCTGGAGCTTGCTTTCTCGTTTTCCCTCTTTCACACTCTGATCAAATTAGAAAATAACAGTAATAATAAGTTAAGTAAAACAATTCTTTCTTTAAAAAATTACATTTATATGATAATCTTAAAAAAGCAAAACTCGTGGGACCAGCAGTTGGCGTAATGGCTATGTCTCTGGACTCCTATGTAGTCGACCATGGTTTGAGTCCCGGACCCGGTGGTTTGAACTTACGCCAGATGCGTGTGCGCGAGTGGAAGATCCCAAGAGGAGTAGATGGGATTACGGTGTGACCACCCCCGGGGGGGGTGATTTCTCATTCTCTGTCTCTGTCTCTCTCTGTCTTTCTGGCAAGCACACGTACCCTTTAGCAAAAATCTTTCCAAAAACAAAAAGCAAAACTCTAAGAAAAAAAAATCACTGGTGGTCAGGGATGGGGCTAGGACACTCTAAAAGGACACGAGGGAACTTTTGGGGGTGATAGTAATGTTATGTACACTGACTATAGTACTGGTTACTATTTTTGTAGTTACTATTGTCCACATTAGTAAAAACCATTTATTTTAGGTGGCCAGTCCCACTCGATAAACTTGAATTTTTAAAAATTAAGAGGCATGTCCTGAATGAAAACAAAAGAGAAAGAAAATCCTAGATTCCCATCTGAGGTATGAAGGCACAAAGTTTGCCAGGATAGGGAATATAGGAGGAAGAACGAATTCAGAAGGGACGATGAGCTTTGATCTGGAGTTCTAATCTCAATGTGCCTTCCAGGTATTCAAGCAGACCTTGAAGGAGAGCAGGAGAGGCAGACCGAGGAGTCACCTGGACACAGCCGGTCATGGCCGAAGTCAAAAGGCTAGGTAGGCTCCACCAGGGAGTGTGTGCAGAGGGCCCTGGTGCAGCAAGGCGACACCTCCCAGGAACACCCACATCTATCAGACAGGAGGACTGCCAAGCAGGGAGGAGTAAACTATCCGAGCTCACAAAGGGTAAGGTTGACACAGCTCCGCTGACCAGAAAGGGGCCTGCAGAGAAGCAAAACTGAAGAGCTCCTGCGGCAGGGTGGGAGCAAGGCCGAGGTCCGAACAGTGGGACGGGGACCGAGGGGTCAGGAAGGCAGGAGGGGACTAGACGGAGGATGCGGCGAAGCGCTACTCTGGACGAGGAGGTGGCCCCATTTCGGGCTATGAGGCCTACTGCGTCCCTCCGAGGCTCCACCACAAGCCCCGGACGCCCCACTTCCGGCTTCCTCCACGCCTCGGAATACTCGCCCGCGGCCCCGAGAGCCCAAGCCTGACCGGGCGAGGCAACCTTCTACCTGCAAGGGCCCCCGCTAGCCCCTTCCTCATCTCGGCCCCCGCCCCCCCCTCTTGCCCCGGCTCTGGTCGTGCCCCCACAGCCCCAGGCCTCCCTCCACCACAGGCCTCGCGGCAGAGCTGCACCTCCCCTAGACCCCCAGTCCCGCGGCAGAACACCGGGGGTCCCTGGCCAGGGGCCCGGCTCTCACCATCGCGGGCGCTGGCTGGGCCAGAAAGCGGAAGTGCGGAAGTGGCCGGCCCCGCGACGCCTGCCCTTTCACGACAGGCGCAGCCGCAGTCTCCGCCCGGACTTCCGGTCGGTACCACCTGTGTTCAGGGCAGGGGAGGAGGAGTCTGGGAACACTCGGACTCAGGACGAGTGTTTAAAGCTGCAACTGTCTCGGCAGCTTTAAAGTTCGCATGTTACATAGGGCTACGCGGGCTCGTCCGTGCAGCCGTGCCGCTCTCGTCTGCGCCTCAGCCTCTGTGCCGCCTTTGCCGCGGCCTCCCCCATTCGTGCAATGGTACAACCCGACCTCAGGTTGGACACCAAATTAGGACAAACCGAGGCGGAGGAGCCCTTCGTTCCTTCCGGTTCTGCGCCCCCATCCTTTCTCCGGGCCCCTCCTACCTGCTGCCCCTGGGGCTCGGCCCTGCCAAGTGCCTCCCGGAGATCTCGGCCGCCGAGCCCCGCCCCCCGCCCCGGGCCGTTCCCCAGGGTTCGCCCGCGGCCTGTTCGCTCGGGGCCCGCGCTCCGCCCCCCACCCTGCGAGCAGCACTGGGCTCGGCCTCGCTGTCTCCCCGCCCTGCGCCAAGTGCGGGGAGCCCGCCCCCCGCCAGTTCCGGGGCGGTTGCTCCGACCCACCGGAACTCCCCGCCCCCTCCCGGGGCCTGGGGGCCCTAGGAGGCCGCAGTGGGGAGGTAGAGGGGGCGGGGGCCACCGTAGAGGGTCCCTAGAGAACTGGGACTTTGAAGGCGGGACATCGGGTGGGTCCAGCCGTTAAGTAGTCCCACTTCTTCTGTGCCAGGCATTGCACTGGGTTCTTGACGGGCACCATCTCTTAACTCCTCCGAACATCCCAGGGAGGTACGTACTGCCGTTATCCCCATTGTACAGATTCCGACTTCTTATGGGGAAACAGACTTTTTTGATTCCCTTTTTACAGATGGAAAAACTGAGACTCAGCGAGGTTAAACAACGTGGTCAGAGGTACATAGAGCACTTGAAGCCAGGGCATTCTGGCTTACCTGCGTGCATTCCCAACCACGATCAGGGACTTGGAGAAAGGTGGAGTGGGATGAGACAAGGAGAGGTGGGCGGCAGGAGAAAACATTGTAAAAGTGAGATGGTTGGCGCTTAGAGGCTTAGCAAAACCGGGGAGGAGCAGAAGGAAAGAGTGAAGGCAGGGCATGCATGTGTAGGGAGGCCACTAGGGATGCAGACTTTAGACTGCCTGGGTTCTTATTGCATTTTGGAAGCTTAGGCATCAAGATGCCTTTTAGAATCTCACTTTCTGCCTTCGTAAATAGGAGATCACAGTGGTCCCTGCTGGTGGGGTTGGATGAGGAATTCAGGGAGGTTCGTCAGTGAGGTGTTCTGCAGCTAATTTGGCATAAAGGAGGGGCTCTGTGAACAGGAGAAGTACTGTCAGCCTTGTCAGGAGAGGTGCTGAATCCTGGCTTCCTTGCCTGGGTGTTCTTCAGCTTTTCTTATACCTCTTTGTCTCCCATCAACGGTCCTTTCTTCTCCAGTTCCGCAGGGTTCCATTATCTTGGGCCATGAGTGAGCTGAAGGACTGCCCCTTGCAGTTTCACGACTTCAAGTCTGTGGACCACCTAAAGGTCTGTCCCCGCTACACGGCAGTGCTGGCCCGCTCCGAGGATGATGGCATCGGTATCGAGGAGCTGGACACCCTGCAGCTGGAGCTTGAGACCCTGCTCTCTTCTGCCAGCCGGCGTCTGCGTGTGCTTGAGGCCGAAACCCAGGTAATACCCCACAGAGGGCTCGCCGCCAAGGGAAAACTGAGACCGTTTATGAATGCCTGAAGTAGCCCTTTTTGCCTAGGCCTGGGGTACTGGAGCTCACGGGGACAGAGAAAGACCGAAACGGGGCTTGTGCAACACTTAGAGTTCACAAGGATGTTTATGATCCTCATACGTTGCAAGATTTTTAATTTACTAGAGTTTTATTGACCCCCACCATGCCCTCGTACTCTAGGTCCTGTTTAGTCATTGGAAAGAGGTGGGACCGTGGTTCGAGTCCTGGACCTGATGGCTTAAACTCATGCCAGGCATCTGTGTGTGCATGCCCAAGATCCCGAGAGGAGAATGGAGGAGAAGGGATTGTGGTGTGGCCATCCCCCCAAGGGATGACTTCTCACTTTCTGTCTGTCTCTCTCTGTTTTTCTGGCAAGCACACGTGCCCTATAGCAAAAACCTCTCCAAAACAAGGAAAGAAAGAAAGAGAGAGGTAATTAGGGGCCAGCAGATGGCATAACAGTTACATTGGTGGACTCCCATATGGCTGATCACAGTTTGAGTTCTGGACCCAGTAGCTTGAACATCACACCGGGCTCGTGTGCATGCGCACCCAAGATCCCAGGAGGAGAAGGGATTGTGGTGTGGCCTTCCTCCCCTGAGGGGTGATTTCTAACTTTCCCTCTTACTATGAGTCTCCTTTCTATCTCTGGTGAGCGCACACATCCTAAGGCAAAAACCTCTTCTAAAAATAAAAAAGGAGGTGGTGGTTAGGACAGGTTTGACCATCAGGGAGGTTGTCACCTAAAGAAAAGGAGAGGTCTGACAGATACTGACTGATGGGATGGTGTGGTTGGGAGCACCAGGAGAACTGGAACGGGGAAACCTGGGTTTGAATACCAGCCTAAGCACTTGCTGGTGTTGAGGTTCCCTTCCAGTGTAACTTTGAGATAGTTCTACCTCTGGCCATCAGTTTCCAGTGTGCAAAGTGACCTGAACTATAGAACCTACCTCAGAGTTTTGGTAAGGATTAAACGAGTTCTTGCAAAGACTCAACCCGGTTTCTGTCACCAAGCGTTTGAAATGTATTTATCAGCGTTACTCTGATTACTTGCAAGTACTGCATAAACTTACCTTGAGTCCTGTGTACCGAGCACAACGCTAGGTCCTAGAGAAGAGAAGAGATGGTTAAGATGAGTGAAGCCGGTCTCCAGTGGCTTATAATCTAGTTGAACAGACAAGGTGTGCTGTTCATTCCAGTATGACCAAACAGCACGGACGAACCTGTACAGAGCTTCAGAGTCCCGGAGACTATTAGAGGAAAGAGCTGCTATTTGAACTAGGAAGTCAGAGGATGAATAGAAAGAACTCGGGGTCCCTCGGCAGCCACGACAACCCTGTGAGGAGGCCTTGTGGCACAATCAGTAGTATTTTAGCATCTAAGAAGCCAGGTAACTAACTTAAAGAAGGCTTTCTTGGTGTAGTGATGTTTGAAGTGAAGGTTTGCTTGTCTGGGCGAAAAAGTTGCTACCACCTATTCTCCCAGTACTGACGTGTGCTCAGGTGTGACCGTTTATGTGAGCTTTCTACTGAACAGTGTTACCTGGCTTGGCTGATATAGAGGTGAATCAGCGGCAGGCAAGTGAATGGAGTGATGAGAATCGTATGAAGGATGTCCCGTAAAACAGAGACACAGAAAAAACAACTGTGCTCGCTTCAGCAGCACGTATACTAAAATTGGAACGATACAGAGAAGATTAGCATGGCCCCTGTGCAAGGATGACACACAAATTCGTGAAGCGTTCCATATTTTAAAAAAAAAAAAACAGTTTACAAGCAAATTACAGACTAACAAAGGCTACAAAAATAAGCTGAAAATTCTGTAATCATCACCTAAGTTGTTAGGAGTAAATATGTGGTAAGAATTATAAAAACTTGCAAATCTGGTAAACTCTTTATAAAATTATTAAAACATTTTGAGGAATATTGCCTTGTATAACTGCAAGGTATACTCTTCTGTTAAACAGAAATAAATTAGACAATTAATTAGAACTGAACTGAGGGTGGCCAATCATATAATAGTAACCTGATATGAAACGACAATCAGATGTTTTTAATCTATTTATTTTTTACTTTGAGAAATGCCAAGAGATGAGGGCAGTTGGCAGGAGTTGAAGTTGAAAAGAAGACAAATGACAACAAAGGTCATGCCAAATCAAAGATCAGAAATTAAGAGCAGGAAGAGAGAGCTAAATTTATGAGTAAACAAAAATAAGAAAGAAGAAATGACAGGATGAAACTAAGTTACTTAATTATATCTGGGGGTAGGTGATTGACAAGTAACAGATTTGTTAACAATAAGGGTATTTAAGAATTAAATATACAGGTCTGGCCTTCTTTGCTGGTAGGGCATTCTAAACTTTCTTGGTTCCTGGGCAATTTCCCCATTTCTCAAACACAAATTGGGGAAGCGTTCCATATGTTAAAAAAAAAAAAAGAATAAACAACTGCGTTATGAAGGAGGAGAAGGAGTTGGTTAAGTGAAGAGAGGAGGGGGAAAGACCTCAGAGCCTCCCTGGATTCTAGATCCTAATTTACTCACTGGGGGAAAGAAAGAATTATGTCTTCCCTTCTCCCCCTCAGTGACCGTCCCTGTCAATTTCAGATCCTCACTGACTGGCAGGAACAGAAAGGCGACCGACGATTCCTGAAGCTGGGTCGAGACCACGAGCTGGGAGCTCCCCCAAAACATGGGAAGCCCAAGAAGCAGAAACTGGAAGGGAAGGCGGGACACGGGCCAGGCCCTGGCCCCGGGCGGCCCAAATCCAAAAACCTTCAGCCCAAGATCCAGGAGTATGAATTCACTGATGACCCGATCGACGTGCCGCGGATCCCTAAGAACGACGCCCCCAACAGGTTCTAGGCCAGAGGACATAGAGGGAGGCCTCGGGATTCTGGCAGGGAAGGCTGGTGGAGCAGAGGGCATCCACTCAGGGTCTCCTCCTTCTCGCAGGTTCTGGGCTTCTGTGGAGCCCTACTGTGCAGACATCACCAGCGAGGAGGTGCGCACGCTGGAGGAGCTACTGAAACCCCCCGAAGACGAGGCCGAGCATTACAAGGTAGAGTCTGTGGGCCTCTGTAGACGCGCTGGAGAGCAAGAGGGTTCCGAGACGCCTCAGAAACAGATCCCAGAGCCGTGCAGCGTCTTCCTTCTGCCCTGCCCAGCCTGCCTGCCCCTTTGACCCACCCGTGCACCCAGGCCCGGGCTCTCAGCTTCCACCTTGCACTGCTTTCCCTCCACCCTAGCCAAAGGGCACCACCTCTTCAGTCCTCAACTTCAGTGAAGTCCATCCTTGTCCCTTCGTCTCCAACCCCTCGGTGTTGACTCAAGCCTCCGTTTGCTTTCATTCAAGTAGTCTCTTCATCTACTTATTTATTTTCTAATTTGACCAGAGAGGGACAGAGCAAGAGAGAGAGAGAGACAAAGTGAGAAAGCAAGCTGCCAGGTCCAGGACTCGAACCACAGTCAGCCACGTGGGAGTCCAGCGCTCTTAACCACCACATCACCTGCCAGCCCCTTAAATAGTCTCTCTTTTTAAAAAGTATTTCTTGGGAACCAGCAGTTAGCGTAATGGCTATGTCGCTGGACTCCCACGTAGTCGACCACGGTTCGTGTCCCGGACCCGGTGGCTTAAAACTCACGCCGGGCGCGTGTGCGTGCGTGCCCAAGATCCCGAGAGGAGAATGGAGGAGAAGGGATTGCGGCGTGACCATCCCCCCTGGGGGGTGATTTCTCGCTTTCTGTCTCTGTGTCTCTCTCTGTCTGTCTGGCGAGCGCACGCGCCCTACAGTGAAAATCTCTCAAAAAAAAAAAAAGTATTTCTTTTAATTTTACTTGTTATTATTATTATTATTTAATTTGACCAGAGAGAGAAAGAGACAAGGTGAGAAAGCAAGCTGCCAGGCCCAGGACTCCAATGATGGTTGACCATGTAGGAATCCAGCACCTTAACCACTGTGCCACCTGCCGGCCCCTAAATAGTCTCTTGACACTCTCTGCTTTTAGGTCTCTAGAAGGATTTTTCTTTAATATATAAAAGTTCATTCTTTTATTTTATCTTTTAGAAAAATTTTGCCATAGAACGTGTGTATTCACTGGAGAAAGAGAGAGAGAGGGAAAGTAAGAAATCACCCCCTAGGTGGGTAGCCACACTGCAATCCCTTCTCCTCCATTTTCCTCCTGAGATTTTGAACACGCGTATACACGTGCCCATTGTGATTTTTCAAGCTGCCAAGTTTGGGATTCCAACATGGTTGGCCACGTAGGAGTCCAGTGCCTTAACCACTATGCCACTTAGTGGTTCCAAAGTTCATTTTTTTATGACAAAAATAAAGCATGTTTTGGAACCACAGTTAGCATAATGGCTACGTCACTGGACTCCCATGTAGTCGACAGCAGTTTGAGTCCTGGACCCTGTGGTTTAAACTCATGTCGGGTGCGTGTGCGTGCATGCTCAAGATCCCGAGAGGAAAATGGAGGATAAGGGATTGCGGCATGACTATCCCCCTGGAGGGTGATTTTTCCCCTTCTGTCTCTCTGTCTCTGTCTTCCTGGTGAGCGCACGCACCCTATAGCAAAAACCTCTCCAAAAAATAAATAACGCATGCTTCATTAAAGAAAGTTTAGAAAATACAGAAGAGAGTCTGGCCTGGTATGGGGGGGAGGGGGGTGCGCGGTGATTCTCCCATGGGTCAGCTGTCAATATCGGATGTGTTCCTGTCATGGCCCCGCTAACAGGCCTCCCGGCTGCTGTAGTCCACAGGGTCAAGTCCGTGTGTCTCAGTCCTCAGTGGCATAGCCCTAGCACCCCTCTTTAGTTTCTGTGGTCACACCCCTCCTCACTCCTGGATTTAACACTGTGCCCTCCTCCCAGGCCTGCACAGGGTCTTTGCTGGTCTCAGGGTCTCTGCACAAGCTCCTCTGCCCTTGACAGGGCGACATCCCCTTTCAAGGCCCTGATTTCATGTTACCTGCACCGATCAAGATGCCGTTCCTGATGCACCAGAGACAACTGGTCTCTTCTGTGTGATGCCATGGTACCTTGCTCCATGCGCTCGCCAGACAGAGAGACAGAGACAGAAAGCGAGAAATCACCCCCAGGAGGGATGGTCACGCTGCAATCCCTTCTCCTCCATTCTCCTCTCGGGATCTTTGGCACGCACGCACACACGCCCGACGTGAGTTTAAGCCACCGGCTCCAGGACGCGAACCGCGGTCGACTACGTGGGAGTCCAGCGACATAGCCATTACGCTAACTGCTCGTCCCCTTCTCTGTGTTTTTAAAAAAATCTATTTGAGTCAGCCAGCAGGTGGTGTAGTGGTCAAGGCGCCGACAACGTTTCGAGTCCTGGACTTGGTGACTTGCTTTCTCACTTTCCCTCTTTCTCTCTCTGTCTCTCTCTGGCCAAATGAAAATAAATGAAGGAATAAATAAAAAATAAATAATTTTTAAAAATCTATTTGAAAAAGTAATGCATACAGGCAGTAGTAAGCTTTAGCAACACAACAGTTAATCTCCCCTCGCCCCGACCCCACGTCCCCTAAGTCTCTGTAAAGGTGACAGCTGTGACCTGAGACGGTGCGTGAACTCCCAGCGTTCTGTACCTTGTGTCTCAGGAATTGTTTCAGTTCTTTTGTGTCTGTCCCTTACCTGGAGGGCGAGTTTAGAGATCTTACCTCCTTTGTCCCTTCTCGCCCATTCCTGGTGAGAATGGGGAAGGCACAGGCCTCGGCCCTGTCTAGCGGGACTTGGAAGGCGAATGAGTAAAGGAGTGAGGGTGTAAGAGTAAACGAAAAGCGTAATGGCAGTGCCCAAGTGCACAGAGAGCTCCCCGCACCCCAGGCACGGCTGGCCAGCGCTGACCCCCACGGCCTGGGCGACGCCTCTCCCACAGATACCACCCCTGGGGAAGCACTACTCCCAGCGCTGGGCTCAGGAGGACCTGCTGGAGGAGCAGAAGGACGGGGCCCGGGCAGCAGCCGTGGCCGACAAGAAGAAAGGCCTCATGGGGCCTCTGACCGAGCTGGACACGAAAGGTAGACACCTCACCGCCCTGCCCAGCCCGGCCAGGCCTTGAATTCCTAGAACTCAGCCGCCTGCCCTCCTCTTCTCTGCCCACTTCAGATGTGGATGCCCTGCTGAAGAAGTCTGAGGCCCAGCACGAGCAGCCAGAAGACGGGTGCCCCTTTGGTGCCCTGACGCAGCGCCTCCTACAGGCCCTGGTAGAGGTGAGCGCCCCCACCCAAAACTAGAGCCACGGTACCGTCCTGTTTTCACTCGTACTGACGTATATACTTATTTTTTTATTGAAATATGCTTGATGTTGGGAGAAGTGCATAGACTGTAAACGTACAGTTTCATACATTTTCTCAGGTGGGAGAATGACTACCAGCCTGGAAATCACGAAATAAAATGTTGCCATACCCTGTGGGTTGTCGGGAAAGTCATGACGCTTTTTTTTCATGTTTTTCTGTGCAAAAATGCAACACGACTTTTCCAACAACCCGGTGGAAGCTGTTCTTGAGCCTCTCCTGGTCCCTAGCCCCCCCACACCACACCCCCACCCCCACCCCCGGGAGCTCCTACCCCGCAGTTACTCTGCTCGCCCTGTGTGGTGCTGTGTGCACATGCGCTCACTGAGGCAGGGACACTGGCCAGCCCCCGTTACATTGGAGATGACAGCCTCGGGAAAGGGCTGTTTGAGGTCACTAATATGTAGAGGCAGGATTCAGACCCTCGCTTCAGGGTTTCTGTCTATACCCACTGGCTGACCTTAGGCACAGCCCTTCACCTCATTGAGCATCAGGGTTTTTTTTTTGTCTTTTTTCCCTTTTTGTATGTGTGTGAGAGAGATTTTTGCTATAGGATGTGTGCACTTGCCGGAGAGACAGAGACAGAAAGCAAGAAATCACCCCCGAGGGGGGATGGCCATGCTGCAGTCCCTTCTCCATTCTCCTCCAGGGATCTTGGGCACGCACGCACCCGGCACGAGTTTTAAGCCACCGGGTCCGGGACTCGAGCCACTCCCACTGACTGCGGGAGTCCAGCAACGTAACCTTTATGCCATCTGCTGGCCCCTGAGCATCAGTCCTGACTCTTGGCTCAAACACAGTAGTTTATCTCTGTCAGGTAACAGACTGGGGCACATATTCCGGCCGACTTCGTTAAGGGTAGGGGAGGGCCATACCATTAGACAGGGACCTCTGCTCGTGGCCTTGCGCGCTGCACAAGGTCACTGTAGGTGTGATCACCACTCCAAGCCCACAGAGAAGAGCAGGGAGGAAGCTCTCGGGGCCATGAGTAGTTACGGCTCTTATCTCTCCTGATCATTTTGCATTGAAGAGAAGCTGTCACCGTATCACACCTGCCTGCAAGGGAGCCTGGGAAATGTGTAGCTCAGGCCTAGGCCGGCCACCATGGAAGGAGAGTGGTATTGGGGCCGCCGGCAGCCCGTGCCACAGAGTGCTCAGCCCAGGCCTGGTGTGGTGCAGATGTTTACTACAGCTTAGCCGTCCTCACTGCCGCTGTGGAGTGTTACCATCGCTCTCGAAATCCTTTCTTTCAGTATCAGTACCAAAGTAAGGGAGTTCTAGAGTCTTCCGAGCTGTTTGGATGTTTGGGAAGGCTTCCCAGAGGAAGTGGGATGGGAAAGATAAAAAAATAAGACTGTCCACAGAGGTCAGAGGGGAGTAGGAAAATAGAAATGCTACAGCTCTTTCTCTCTTTCTCATTTTTGTGGTCTTCTAGGAAAAATTTCTCTTTATTTTTTGAGACGTTTTTGCTGTAAGTCACATGCACTCACCAGAGAGACAGAAGCAAGAAACCACCCCCAGGGAGGATGGCCACGCCACAGTCCCTTGTACTCCATTCTCCTCTTGGAATTTTGGGCACGCACGCACACACGCTCAGCTTGAGTTTTGAGTCACCGAGTCCGAGACTCAAACTGCTGTTGACTACATGGGAGTCCAGCAACATAACCGTTACGTCATCTGCCGGTCCCCTTGTAGGAAAATATTATCTCCCCCATGGAGGACTCTCCTATTCCTGACATGTCTGGGAAAGAATCGGGAGCTGACGGAGCAAGCACCTCTCCCCGCAATCAGAACAAACCCTTCAGGTGAGTGGTGTCCTGTCCACACCCTGCAGTCGGACCCTGCCTATGTCCAAGGGATTGTCTTGTTCATAGAGAGGCTGAGGGTACTGCGGTAGTGCCCAGTAGGATTCTCAGGTGTGAGTGCCAGCCCAGCCTTTCTTTCCTCTTTTGTTGTTTTTTTTTTTTTTAAATTTGCTTGAGGGTGGGACCAGCAGTTGGCATAATGGCTATGTCGCTGGATTCCCATGTACTTGACTGCAGTTCGAGTCCTGGACCCTGTGGCTAAAACTCACGCCGGACGCGTGTCCATGCCGGCCCAAGATCCCGAGAGGAGAATGGAGAAGCGATTGCGGCGTGGCCATTCCCCCTGGAGGGTGATTTCTCGCTTTCTGTCTCTCTGTCTGTCTCTGTCTGTCTGGCTAGCGCATGTGCCCTATAGCAAAAAGCTCTCCAAAAAAAAGAAAATTTGCTTGGGGGCTCCTGAGTCCACTGAGAGATAGGTAGATAGAGTGAGGAGAGGAAGAAAGCCCCTCTCACTGGGGCGTGGTCACACCGCAATCCCTTCTTTCCATTGCTCCACCCCCTCGAGGATTGGGGGCACACCTACATGCCTGGTGTGTTTTTCAAGCTGCACAGTTAGCCGTGTGGGATTGCCCCTCTTAACCACTAACCATAGGGCCAGCCCGCCAGTATTCATAGCACTTCGCACGCTGTAAGTAACCCAGGTGTCCAACTGAGGGGACTGGTTAGCCAATTCTACGGCTCCGTCTTGTGAAGTAACTTGCAACTGTTAACCACATTACAGAAATATACCTGATCAACATAAAAACGTGTAAACAGTAGAGTGCTAGATACGGAACGTGTTCGTTGTAGCCCAGTACAGACAATGTATTTTTAAGTGTGTGCACACAGGGAAACGTATATTTAAGAGTGTGCCCATGGGAGAAAACCTGTAATAATATGTAGAAAGACTGGGAATAACATTGGGTCGTCAGAAAAGTCACGAAACGTTTCTACATAGAGAAGCAGTGAAAAATACATCTTGAGTTTCTCAGTGACTTAATACATAACCAAGTCTGCCGGCCCATGGCCTGGAGGTTAAGGCAGCTGGATCCGACTTGACCAACTGCTCGGTTTGAGTCCTGGACCCAGGGGCTTGAGGAACAGGCTGGGCACGTGCACATGCATGCCCCAGACCGTAGCAGGGTAGAGAGGAGGGGGAGAAGGGATTGCATCATGACCATTCCCTGTAGGGGTGCTTTTCACTGTCTCCTCTCTCCAGTGAGTGCACATGCTCTCTGACAAATTAAGTCCTCTTTTTCCTTAAGAGAGATTTTTGTTGTAGGGCTCGTGCACTCATTGGAGACACAGAGACACACAGAGAAAAAGTGAGAAATCGCCCTCCTGAGGGGGTGTCCATGCCACAATCCCTTCTCTTCCATCCTCTTCTTGGGATTTTGGACACGCAAGCACACTCATGCCCGGTGTGAGTTTCATGTCTAAGACTTGAACCCGGTCAGATTCAAGTTCAGGACTTGAACCTGGTTGATCATTTGGGAATCCAGTGCCTTAACCACTAAGCCACCTGCTGGCCCCTTAAGTTTTTTGTTTGTTTCTTTTTTTGTTTCCTTTTTGAGAGGTTTTTGCTACAGGGCACGTGCGCTCACCAGAGAGACAGAGAAACAGAAAGTGAGAAATCCCACCTCCCCGGGGGATGGCCACACTGCAGTCCCTTCTCGTCCATTCTCCTCTCAGGATCTTGGGCACGCACGCACACGCGCCCAGCGTGAGTTTAAGCCACCAGGTCCGGGACTCAAACCACAGTCGACTATGGGAGTTCAGTGACATAGCCATTACGCTAACTGCTGGTCCCTGGCCCCTTAAGTTTTAATATAGGTTTAAAAATATATATGTAAAAAAATTTATTACATACATTAAAAGCTTTGTAACAGAATAATAAGGACGATTCTCTGGGTTGTCGGCTTTATGGGGCTTTCTGGTTTAGGACAATGGATATGTGTTGCTTGTGGTCAAAAGCCAGACTAGATATCTCTCTCTCTCTACTTTTATATCTGCATAGCTACAGAGGGGTTGCCCAAAGGGAAAGGCAGGTGTTCACCATCCTTGGGAAACCGGGAACCTCAGGGGGGACCCCTTCCCTGCTGGCCCTCGGGCTGAGAGGACCAGTCTCCGGAGTCTCTGGCCTGCCTTCCCTGCAGTGTGCCCCACACTAAGTCCCTGGAGAGCCGCATCAAGGAGGAGCTGATCGCCCAGGGCCTCCTGGAGTCCGAGGACCGACCTGCAGAGGACTCGGAGGACGAGGTCCTCGCTGAGCTGCGCAAACGGCAGGCCGAGCTGAAGGCGCTCAGCGCCCACAACCGCACCAAGAAGCACGACCTCCTGAGGTGAGCGAGAAGGAGACTTTATGGCAGTCCGGGGGGCTTTATGACTGGCTTTCCAAACATGGCCAAGCCTCCAGATCACCTGGAGAGACTCGAAAAAAGTGTCCAGGCCAGACACCGCCCCCGGTTAGGTCTCTGACAGATTCCAGCTCCACAGGTGGGCCTCAGGCACCTGTAATCGATTGCACAGTTGACTTTGATGTTTTAAATTGAGTCGGAAAATGTAATATAAAATATGCTCTCTTAATCCCCTTTGTTTAGAAGAATTTATGTAATTTTATTTATCATTATTTTTTGGGGGGGTGGGGGGAGAGGTTTTGGCTATAGGGCGCCGTGCGCTCGCCAGACAGAGAGAGAGAGAGAGACAGAAAGCAGGAAATCACCCCCCCCAGGGGAGATGGTCACGCCGCAATCCCTTCTCCTCCATTCTCCCCTCAGGATCTTGGGCACGCACGCACACGCACCTGGCGTGAGTTTAAGCTGCTGGGTCCAGGACTCAAACCATGGTCGACTACATGGCAATCCAGTGACATAGCCATTACGCTAACTGCTGGTCCCTCCTTACCTACTTTTAAGTATATAGTTAGGTAATGTTAACTAACTCATATTGTTGTGTGATTTTTTAAAAAAGAATTGTTTATTATTTTTTTAATCTGATCAAAGAGAGAGGGAAAATGAGAAGATAAGTCTCCAGGTCCAGGACTCCAACTGCAGTCAGCCATGTGCAAGTCCAGCGCCCTAACCACCACACCTGCTGCCGGCCCTCTTGTATGATTTTTTTTTTTTTTAAGATTTTTGTCATAGGGCATATGCGCTCACTGGAGAGAGACAGAAAGTGAGACGTCGCCCCCACACACATCCCACTCTGAGGGGATGGCCATACCACAGTCCCCTTTTCTCTTCGGATTTGGGGCCCGTGGTACTTCCCTGGTTAGCAGATGAGAAAATAAAGGTCTAGTGAAGTGAGGTGCTTTGCTAAATGTCAGCCGAGGCTTGAGCCCAAGGCCACAGCCAGGCCTCTTTCCAGTTCACGTTCCCCCTGAAGGACAGGAGCAAAATACGGACAAGAGGCACTGACAGAAGGAGAGACAGGAAGAGAGAGAAAAGCAGGGACGCGAGTTAGAGGAGTCGTCGGCCGTGAAGAAGTAGCGGAGTGGGGAGAGGAGGCTGGAGCGTAGCCCTCAGCCCTGCCCTACGCCATCCACAGGGCCCTGAGCAGGGGAGCTCTTGGCTGGAGGCAGCTTCCCCTTCGCAAAGTGAGCCCTCAGCTGGACCGCTCAGCAGCTTTCCAGCTCCACTGCCGTTGGAATTTATGTTGGACTCTGTTCAGAGGGAGCGATTTGGCACTTAGCCACCCCTGAAAGCCTCAGGCTGTCTAGAACGTGGATGCTAAAGAATGCAGGTCTTGGGCCAGCCAGTGGCATGGTGGTTGAGGCGGCTGGATCCCATATGGCTGGCTGGACGGTTCAAGTCCCAGACCCAGCAGCTTGAAAAACACACCCAGCATGTGTGTGTGTGTGTGTGTGTGTGCCTAAAACCCCAAGAGGAGAATGGAGGAGAAAGGATTGTGGTATGGCCATCCCCCCAGGGGGGACTTTCTCAATTTTCCTCTCACTGTCTCTCTCTCTCTCTCTCTCTAGTGAGTGCACATGCCCTAAGACAGAAACCTCAAACGAACAAACAAAAAGCTGTTGGGTTGTCAAAAATGTCATGACATGTTTTTTGCATAGAAAATGTACATCCTGACTATGACAACCCAGTGTTATAGGGCCAGCCAGTGGCATGGTGGTTGAGGTGGCCGAATCCCAAATCGCTGAGTCTGTAGTTGAAGTCACAAGGACACACCAGCCATGGGTGCATGCGTGCCCAGAGTTCCCAAAGGGGAAACGGAGGCAAGGGGATTGCAGCATGGCCATGCCTCGTGGCGGGCGCTTTTTCACCTTCTCCCCTACTCTCCTCCCTCCGTGGCAAGCACACATATTCTCCTGCAAGATTTTTTTTAAAACGGGGTTGGCAGGTGGCATGGCGGAAAAGGGCCCTGGACTTACATGGCCTACTACAGTTCGAGTCTTGGACCTGGCAGCTTGCTTTCTTACTTCCCCCTCTCTCTCACTCTGGTCAAATTAAAATAAATAAGGTTAAATGAATTAATTTTTTTTAAAATGGATATTACTAAAAAACAGAAGCCAGGAGTAGTGGTATGTACCTATAATCCCAGCTACTCAAGAGGCTGAGGAAGGAGAACCGTGAGTTTGAAGGCAGCCTGAGCAATATCGCAAGACCCTATCTCAATTTAAAAAAAAAACAAATTCAATACTGGGGGCCAAACAGTGGTGCAGTGGTAGAACACAGTGGTCTGTGAGGCTGGAACAGAAGGGCAAGTTCACTCCAGGTTTGTACCCAGAGACCTCTGAGTGTGCCAGGCACGTGCACGCCCATGGTCCAAAGCTAGCTGAGCCGAGGGGGGGGTTGGACATCAAGACTGTATTGAGTCCTCTCTCCCGTACTCATAGAAGAAATGCAAAATGAAAATAAAATAAATCATGATTAAAAACAGAGTTTAAGCTGACCTTACCTCAGCCTCCCACTCCACAGTTGTGGGATCTTGGGCATTTTTCTTTCTTTTTTTATTTATTTTTTAAAATTATTCTATTTAACTTTAGTTATTCATTTATTTACTTTAAGTTGACCAGAGAGGGACAGAGCAAGCAAGAGATAGAAAGTGAGAAAGCAAGCCACCAGGTCCAGGACTTGAACCGTGGTCAGCCATGCGGGGGAGTCCAGCGCCCTGCTCCACCACGCCACCGGCCATCCCCCACGCAGCATGTTTTCAAGCCCCCAGGGCCAGGATTGACCTGCAGTTGTCCATGTGGGATCCACATGGCTTAGCTTCCTGCACAGGGCTTAACCTCTGCTACGGGGCCAGCCCTACATTTAATACTTTTTTTAGGAGTAGTTTTCAGTTCACAGCAGAATTGCCGGGAAGGCACACAGAACTCACATAGGCCCCCGCCCCTACACACGCACGGCATCCCGTCATGGACATTTTTAAAGCGCCTAAAACAGTGCCTGCCACACGGCGCCCGTACTCGTGGTCCGGTCTCTCTGCTCTGGGCCGTGAGCGTGAGAAACGGTCCACAGACGTGCCGGCCTGCGCCTGCGGGTGGGTTCGATCCGGGAGAGGGAGGGCCTCACCCCGGCAGGTGGGCTGACCAAGGCCCCTGGCGGCTGCTCCCACAGGCTGGCAAAGGAGGAGGTGAGCCGGCAGGAGCTGAGGCAGCGCGTCCGCATGGCAGACAACGAGGTCATGGACGCCTTCCGTAAGATCATGGCCGCCCGGCAGAAGAAGCGGACCCCCACCAAGAAGGAGAAGGACCAGGCCTGGAAGACCCTGAAGGAGCGGGAGAGCATCCTGAAGCTGCTGGATGGGTAGCGCGGCCCCGCCGAGGCTGCCCTCGCGGCCCACTTCCCTCTCCGGGGGCCAGAAGCCTTGGCCGGTGGCTGCCTTTCACATGACTGCAGTCTCCAGAGGATGGTGGCCTGTCCCCGAGGTCGTCTTGGCCCAGCTCTGTACAGCCAGGCCACAGGAGGCCCCGCTGGGCTGGCCTGGGGCCCAGTCTCTGCTTGGTCCCCAAGATGAGTGGGGGCTTCGTTTCTGGGGCTTCCTCTTCCCCCTCTTTGCCTCCCCCCACGTCCACACCGCCCCCTCCCGCTCCCCGTCGGGGACTTCTCCCTTGTGGTTTTGTAAAGTACAGTCAAGAATAAAGCAACTTCTGTGGTTTTTCAGAAAAAGCATCCCGTGTCTGAATGTCTGTTGTGGGGCGGAAGGAACCGGCGTGGGCAGCAGAGGGTTAGCGGAGCACACCTGGCAGCTCAGCCGTGGCCACTCACTCACGGCACTCGCTCGGGGACAGCACCCTAAGCACCTTCCTCCAAGTGACCTCAGGTACCACCCCCCAGGTGAACGTGGGTATTGAGGCAGTGTGCCGGGGCAGGGCCTGCACAGTCCTGGGCGGGACAGCCTGCAGGGTTAGCCGGTGTAGCAACCCCGCAGGGCCCCGTGTGTCCACACTGCCCTCCCAGCGTCAGCGTCTACCACAGGTGGGTCCCCGCCCGGGGGTGGGGGGGCCCGCAGCAGCAGTGAGTCCAAATGCTTCTTCATTTACACCCAGCGAGAGAGCAAGAGCCAGCCGGCTTCCGTGGCCCGCCCAAAAGAGCAAGATTCTCTATGTCTCCGGATTCCGTATGTCTCCGGGACCCAAACTAGGTCGTACATGCCTGTTCCCGAAATAACCACCAGGACACGGGAGGACCCTAACGGGTTTAAACAACCCGGAGTGAGTCTGCTGCTCTACTGAGCCCAGGGCGATGGGGACGGCATAGAGACCCACAGGTCCGAGTGGGGAGAGGGAAAGGAATGCCAGGGGCTGCTGGGAGCTTCCCATCACTACGGGGCAGGAGCGGAGGCCTGAGGGATACAGATGAACAAGTATGTTCTCATCCCAGCCTCCAGTTCCCAGATGAATATGGACGATTTACTGTGGGAAGTTCGAGGTCCACTCTGGAAAGGAAAGGAGAAGCTTCCCTGAGGAAGCCACCTATGATCTGAGTCATAAAGAAGTATACCCAAAAAAAAAAATAAAAGAAAAGAAAAAGGGACCAGCAGTTTGGCATAATGGCTATGTTGCTGGACTCCCATGTAGTCGATCATGATTCGAATCCCACACCCGGTGACTTAAACTCACGCCGGACGTGTGTGTGTGTGTGTGTGTGTGCCCAAGATCCCAAGAGGAGAATAGAGAAGAAGGGATTGTGGTGTGGCCATCCCCCGGGGGGGGTGATTTCTTGCTTTCTGTCTCTGTCCTTCTGGCAAGCGCACGTGCCCTATAGCAAAATCCTCTCAAAAAATAAGGATACCAAGGGGCCAGCAGGTGGCATGGAGGTTAAGGCACTGGATCCCATATGGCCAACTGCACTGTTCAAGTACCAGACACGGCAGCTCAAAAATCCTGAGTGGAGACTGGAAGAGACGTGATTGTGGCATAGCTATCTCACCTGGGGGACGATTTCTCACTTTCCCTCTCTCTCTGGTGAGCTTGTACACCCTATGGCAAAATCTTCAAAAAAAAAAAGAAAGTACACTAAGGATAGCCAGCATTTTCTTATACCCAGCCCCTCTCTGTTGGAGAGATGGCCCTTCCCCGTCACAGGTGGCTCTGGTAAGACTGCCCAGCTAGAGTGACCAGCAGATGGCGTGATGGCTACGTCACTGGACTCCCATGTAGTCAACTGCAATTTGAGTCCCGGACCCCGTGGCTTAAACTCACACCAAATGTGTGTGTGTGTGCGTGCCCAAGATCCCAAGAGGAGAATGGAGAAGGGATTGCGGCGTGGCCATCCCCCGGGGTAGGGGGTGATTTCTCACTTTCTGTCTCTCTCTCTCTGTCTTTCTGGGGAGCACATGCCCTATAGCAAAAACCTCTCCAAAAAAAAAAAAAAATAGACTGTCCAACTAGGGTGGACACATGACCCCAGCTTGACCACTCATAGTACTCCATCCCTCCAGCTGAATGACAGGTCCAAGGAGTATGTGTGTGACCCAAACTGGGCCATTCAGGCCTTCCATACGATTGGCCCAAGGGTGCTGAAACAATTTCACTTCCTTTCGGATCATACGTCATAGACCCAGCAGAGATCACCCCATGACCTGCTTTCCTGACATACAGAAGAACCTGCTGAGAATAAAGCCAGCTCAGAGAGGCAGAGCCAGGAGATGGAGAAAGAGACAGAGGGCTAATGCTGTAGCTGGAGTGCTGGATCGAGCCATACCTGAAGCCACTGAGTCTTCTATTGGCCTTCCCAGGTCACATCAGCCCACAAATGCTGTTTTCAGCTTTGGTAGCTTCGTGATTTGTAACTAAAAGAGGCCCACCTAATAAAAGTGGATTCTGGCTAAACGAAAGATGGAATAGGATCCTGAGAGAGAGAGGACAGCATGGGCCTACCTCCCGCTAGGTGCAGGGCCAACCTGCTGCAATCTCTCAGAGACTCATTGCTCAGAGAGAAAGGCCACCGCCATGTGAAACGATGAGCAACCAGCCATGGTAACCATGGTAATGTAACTAAGTACTCAGAAAATGTCAGCTCAGTTCCAGACACTGCTCTAAACTCATCCAGCCACCCGACTCCGGCTACCCCATATGGTAATAATATCCCATTCACCAAGGAGGAAACTGAGGCTTAGGAGATTTTTTTTTTTTTTTGAGAGGTTTTTGCTATAGGTCACGTGCACTTGCCAGACAGACAGAGACAGAGAGATAGAAAGCGAGAAATCACCCCCCAGAGGGTATGGTCATGCCACAATCCCTTCTCCTCCATTCTCCTCTCGGGATCTTGGGCACGCACACACATGCGCCCGGCATGAGTTTTAAGCCACCGGGTCCGGGACTCAAACCGTGGTCAACTACATGGGAGTCCAGCGATATAGACATTACGCTAACTGCTGGTCCCGAGGCTTAGGCGATTACAGGCTTGTTTAATCAGACAAACAATTGAGCAGTAGAACCAAGATTCAAACTCAGGCCATCTGACTTGCAGACACAGCCCCGGTTACATAACTCAGGGCTCCACGCCTGTGGCAGTCTGGTGCGTGGTACGCCCTCCACTTGGGCAGTGCCCAGCCTGGGAAACCACACATGGCAGCCTGCTTTTAATTACCCACTCACGTCCACGCTCATCAGGCCAGACCATAAGTATGGTAGGCGTCGCTGGTAGAGAGTTCTAGGCACAGAGACAGTTTTGCGGAGGAGGTGGCATCGGAGCCAGTCCCCAAATTGGGTAGGGTTGTGAGAGGAGGAAGGTAGATGTTATAAATAGAAGAACCCTAGAAAACAGACGAGGCCTATTTTGTTAGAGAGGAGAAGGAACTTTCAAGGATCTGTCGTGAGAAGTCCAGTCATTCTCTCTCACACACCTACTGTCTGCTCATTGCTGTGCGGGGCCCTTTAACCACACATCTCCCATGCTCGCTGCACACCTAGTAGTGACACTCCCAGCCTGCAGGGGGCATCGCGGTCCAGAGAGGTCAAGTGCCTGGCTCAGGCTCCACAGCCTTGATACAGGAAGGTTACTGCCCAGAGAGCACCATCCGTGATGGAGTTCCCACGGCCATATTTGCAGCTAGTGGAACCAGAGGAGGCCTCCTTCATGGTGTTGGGAGGCAGCTGGGTTCCTCATGAAGAGGGGAGATTAATTCCAGCACCTTGAGTCTCCAATATTTTTTTATTTAAAGAATTCTTTTATTTTTTTATTGTCATTATTATTATTATTATTATTGAAGGTGACCAGAGAGAGAGAAAGAGAAGGAAAGTGAGAAAGCAAGCTGCCAGGTCCGGAACTTGAACCACAGCCATGTGGGAGTCCAGCTACCTTAACCACCTGCCAGCCCCTCCAATTTTTATTTTTTTAATTTATTTTGGCTGTAGGATTCATGCACTTGCAGAGAGACAGAGAGGGAAGAGAGAGAAAGCACCCCCCAGGAGGGTGTAGTCACGCCACAATCCCTTCACCATTTGTCCCCTTTGTTAGGACTTTGGGCACACACTTAGACTTGCTGGCTGTGCTTTTCTTTCTTTGTCTCTTTCTTTCTTCTTTTTAATTTTCCTAGAGGGTGCATGCACTCAGTAGAGAGAAAGAGAAGGAAAGCAAGAAAGCAACACCCATGGGAGATGGTCAAGCTGCAGTCTTGTCTCCATTTCTCGTTTCAGCATTTTGAACATGCACGCACACACATGCATCTGGTGTGTTTTTCAAGCTACGAGGTCCAGGACTCAAACCATGCAGTTGGCTGCATGGGATCCAGTTGCCTTCACCATCATGTCACCAGGTGGCCCCAGTGTGCTTTTCAAGTGGTAGAGGCCAGGATTCGAACTGCTCAGTCAGTTGTGTGGGATCCAGCTCCCTTAACCACCAGGCCATGAGGCTGGTCCAAGCCTCCAGTTCTAATTTGAAACAATCCTGACACCTTATCACTAGTTTGGGGGGAAAGCCTGTCTTGGCCCTAGAAGGCACCCATAGTACATTGTCCAGAGTCCCAAGTATCTTACAACTGACTTTCAGAAACACCAGGAAGGTGAGAACGGAAGGTTAAGACCTGACCAGCAGTCGGTCCCCAGCCCTTTCACTTCCTGAGCACTCCTTCTGAGGAGGAAGCAATGGCTGGAACTTTAAGGAAACGTGGCCAAGAAATACATTTTTCCAGGCCCAGGGCCAGCAGGTGGTTTGGTGGTCAAGGTACTGGACTCCCACATGTCTGACTGTGGTTTGAATCCTGGACCTGGCGGCTTGCTTTCTCACTTTCTCTCTCTCTCTTGTGACCACTCATGCCCTATAGCAAACTTTAAAATAATAATAATAAATAAATAAAATAGGGACCAGCAGTTAGCATAATGGCTATGTCACTGGCATCCCACGCAGTCGACTGCAGTTCGCATCCTGGACCTGGTGGCTTAAAACTTACGCCGGGCTCCTTTGCGTGCCTGCCCAAGATCCCGAGAGGAGAATGGAGGAGAAGAGAATGGATTGAAGCGTAGCCATCCCCCCTGGGGGGTGATTTCTCGCTTTCTGTCTCTCTGTCTCTCTCTGTCTGGCGAGCACACGCGCCCTATAGCAAAAACCTCTCCACAAAAAAAAAAGATTGAGAGAGGCTTCAGGGAGGCCAGGAAGAAGAGCCATTGGGCGGAAGATAACAACCCGGAGGGGAAGGAATGGCAGTACACAGAGCCGTGAACAGCTGG